TTATTCTAACAAAAGAAAAACAGCCACTTCAAGTGATGGAAATGTGTGGATATCTATTTGCTGCAGAATGAAGTTTTAATATTAGAGAAAAGAAAATCTGTTATTTCAGCGGTACGTGTACTTACAGGGAGGTCAGTGAAGGCAACACCTAAAGGAGTAAAGAACATCAAGAGTTAAAATTTCATTTTTTAAACCTAAAGCAAATCGTCGGACTCATCTGAGACATAATGGACCTAAACTGATGCCGTTTTTTGTGTAGAAGCAGGTGTTGTTGATGAGGTTTACGCAGCAGCCAATCACGTCGCCCGTGGTGAACGTCGGACCGTACGGTTGGCCGGTCCCAGAAGAGCAGAAGGAGTGACCGTCGTCTCCGTGGTAACCGTATGAGTGTTTGTCCCATCCTGAAAGATGAAGAAGAAGGAAGATGAGGATCAGTTATTTTATGTACGGTCATTGACCCAAAAGATACAGGAAAACAAACATGAAGGACGGGGAGAAAAAAAAGCAGCCGAAGAGAGCTGAACCGGACTGAGGAGACAGTTACTGACCTAATGACTCAGACTGATTGCCCCACACACACACACATGCTGCAGTGTCCTAGACAACCAGCAGGAGGACTTTTAAAGAAACTGGTGAGTCACTGCTTACAGAAACAGCAGCTCAGTAACCAGAACCAGAACCAGGACCAGAACCAGAAACAGGATCAGGACCAGAATGGTAAAATTCACCAGAGCAAGAGAACAAGAAGACATGATTTTATTTTTAGGCCCTGTGATGGACTTGCGACCCGTCCAGGGTGTACCCCGCCCCTCGCACTGTGATTGCTGGACATGGGCACCGGCGACCCGTGACCCAAAATGGAAGAAGCGGGTAAAAGATAATGAATGGATGGATTTTATTTTTATTATTTTTTATTTACTATTTCATGTCTGCTGACAGGCAGCACGGTGGCTCTAAGAGCTGCAGCAAGAAGGTCGATGGTTCAAGTACCAGCCCGGGACCTTTCTGGGTGGAGTGTGCATGTTCTCTCCATGCATGCATGGTTCTTCTCTGAAGCAGTCTGGGTGAAACATCATCATCTGACGTTCTCTTCAGTCATTTGGGCGAAGCTTTTTAATTCGGCGTTAAACTGGGTTTTGAAATTTTTCCTCCTCGAGGATCGTCCGAGTTTCAAGCGACCTGAAGCCGGCGGCATTCGGCTCCCTCTGTCGGTATTCAAACCTCGGCTGGGGCGTATGTTGTAGACAAAGAAACCAGGCAGGGTTAGAGGGAAGTAGGTCACGGGACAGCAGAGAACTCGGACGTGTACTCAGAAACGTGTGATGTATATCTGTGAAGTATTAACCTAAACCCAGAGGAGTGTTTCCATGCTCGTGTCCTCTGTGCGCGCTGGTGCATTTCTGTCAACTTGATCACACATTGTCCTTCGTCTCCCTGTGTGTGGGGAGGTATTAGATTAATCTGCTGACAGGGATATTGCCTCTAAAGCTGGGCTCGCTGCTCCAACATGCTAATGAAATGGGCAAGCCTCCACAGCAGGATCAGACACAGAGGTCAGCGGTGGGAACACTGGACCAAACCGGACCAAATGAGACAAATACACAAGTTCTGAACCTCACTCCCTTTACTCACCCACTTGACTTGAGCACTTCTCTACAACGTATTCACATTTTTAGCTGGAGACTTTGTCACATATTTTACATAAAATATACGAAGCAGATGTAGACCCGTTGACTGATTTAATCAGCCGATGCTTGCCACTTTTTAAACATCTGTGATCGGCCATGTTCGTGCACACTCTTGTGGGAAGATGAAGATGCAGCAGCAGCTGCTACAACAACTGTAGCCCACGTTTCATTTGTTTAAGCAGGAATGTTTTTTATATTAGTGACCGAGCTCTTCTAAGTGTCATTTAACGTGTTTATTCGTGTTAAAGCCATAACAGCTGTTAAATAGATTTTTCAATGTTTGTGATGTAAATGTGTTGCTTATGTTTATGCTTATATTACAGGTCTCTCTTGTAAATGAAAAAAAAAAGTATAATCTATGATTTAAAAAAACAACCACTGAAGGGATCCTAAATAAACACTTATTATATTGTACATACACGTGGAAATAAACGATGCAGGAAGTGTCTGACTGACAGCTGAAGCCCTGCAGCCAGTGCTATTTAAAGTCCAAACTGAGCAATTGTTCTTTACAAAGTGAGAGTCCATGTTTGTCTGAAGTCGTGTTACTTTGAGGTCACACCACGAGTCCACGCCATGTGTCACTGACGTGTCCCAACACGTTCTGTCTGCAGCTGTCAGACTGCTGAGTCCACCAACGACAACTACAAAATAAATAAATAAATAAATAAAATGAATTGCATCTCTTTCCCTCCCGAGGCAGCAAATCTGGTTCACTTTATGGACTCAGGTTAATGTGAGTCACTCGTGATAGTGATTCACTTGACGCTGCCCAAAACTACAACTAGTTAGGTATTTACATTTGCATTATTCAGATTTTACAATTCCACACAACAATCAATCAATTCAAAGACAATAGAATAAAAGAAATTTACCTAAAACGTGAAATGTTCAAATTAAGGTAACCAAAAAAATAACTTGAATTAAATGTGTGTTTGTACTGAGTCTGCTGTTTGTTTCTGGTGAGTCTTTAACCTAAATCACAAACCTGACTCATCTGAGTCCGAAGGTTTTGGCGATTCAGTTTTCTTTTTTGAAAATCTACAACTCAACAACTCATCAGCAGTCTGCCAGAGGACATGTAGGATCCAGGTTAACTGAATCTTAATTCAGTGCTAGGATTTGAATCATAGACCTGAGTGAATCAGTAGCTGGCCAGCTCCATTTCCCTCCACTTTAATTCTTAAACCTTATAAATATTGACATATCTGTGGCTATGCAAACCCATTTGTGCCACTCTGATAAAGTCACAACTCTGGGATTGTGCCTCATAAATATGACTTACAGATGGCAGAACTGGGCTTCTGTAGTGGCTCCTTTAATTTACCCATAAAATCTGATTCTTCTTTGCTTCTACATAGTTTCCTGGCCCTCATTTTCTCCTTCAGCCCTTCATCTCTGGAAACATCCCCACCCTGAAAGAAAACAATGACTAACTGCTAATATGTGACCCGTCTTTCAGAACTGGACATGCTCATGAGAAACTCTAAAGCTTGATAAAGTAAAACTGTTGTAATCGGAGCCGAAAAAACCACGGGAATCAAACTGTTGACTAATAAACAATTACAAGTTTTCAGCGTTGACAACTTAATTGTGTCGTGCACGTCGTCCTGAGCGCAGCCAGGATTGAACAAAAGAAGGATGTTTTTCTTGACAGACTGCCAAAGTGGTCTGAAAATCTGGCTCTGACCCCGGTGAGTCCAAGTTACTGTTAGACGCATTATGAAATCCTCCCCTCGGTTCGTGTTAGATAACCTTCGTTTGGCTGATTGGCTCAGTCTTCTTGTTCTCCCGTCGATAAATTAAAGTAACTAAAATGGATTTCAGAACCAAACAACAAACGTCTGATTGTCCAGCTTCCTTTGTGAGACCAGCTCACACGTACTCACCGGGCAGCCTGTTCATGTTGACTCCATGTGCAGACAGGCCGATGCCCATGTACCTGCAACGAGCAAGAGAAGAAGAGTGTTGAAATCATTACTGCTATACTAATATTACCATTCTACGTCTACATTTAACTATCGAAAGGGCATTTAAAGGCAAAAACTGTTCCTGCAGGTGACCACTTGACATAAACTTCTAAATAAACTAGTCAGTGTTTTAGAGCTTTCTCAGCCTGAAACAAACAAAACATCAAATTTGAAATTACGTTTTTCATTTCAAATTTTAACTTTAAACTGGCTCATGCATTTGTCACGTCTAGACTGGACTATTGCAATTGTTTATTTTCTGAGTGTCCAAATACGTCTTTAAAAAGTCTTCAGTTAGTCCAAAATGCTGCTGCCAGAGTCTTAACTGGAGTTAGTAGGAGATCATATCTCTCCAGTTTTAGCTTCTCTCCACTGGCTCCCAGTCCAGAATTGAATAAAAAATCTTACTTCTAAACTACAAAGCTCTCAACAACCTAGCTCCATCTTATATTCGAGATCTTATTGTTCCATATTTTCCCAACAGAGCACTTCGCTCTCAACTGCAGGTTTACTTGTGGTTCCTAGAGTTTCCAAAAGCAGAATGAGAGGAAGATCTTTCAGTTATCAGGCTCCTCTCTTGTGGAACCAACTTCCAGTTTCTGTCCAGGCTGACACATTGTCCAGTTTTAAGACTGGGCTTAAGACTTTCCTTTTTGATAAATCCTATAGTTAGGATTAGTTTCTTATGTTGCCATAGGCTTACACTACTTGAGGACAAATTGACCTCATTTCCTTAAATAATTTGTTAAAATTAAATAATTTTCATTAGATGCTATTTCCATCTTAACATGTGATTCCTGACCTGCCATTGTGTATCTGTTCCTACCAAACCCAGCCGGTCAAAGCAGATGGCCACTTGTCCTGAGCCTGGTTCTGCTAAAGGTTTCTTCCTCATGAGGGAGTTTTTCCTTCCCACGGTCGCCTTCATGCTTGCTCAAGATGAGAGTTCTGTGATGGAGTTAAATTCAAAGCAGTCTGCTCCTCAGATAAATAATGTTAAATTGTTATTTTTATATATGAGTGTTTCTGTTCAGTGCCCTGAGATGACTTCTGTTGTGACTTGGTGCTAAAGAAATAAAGTGAATTGAAATTGAAATGAAATGCTTAGGAGCATTTAGTTTTACAAAACTCCATAATTCTTTTTTTTATTTTTTTTATTGAGAAAATATTTATTTTATGGCATTTTCCCCCTTTTAAGACAGCCAAAAGGATAAAAAAAAAACAAAAAAAAAACTTCTTTTGTTTTTAATTCCAGTCCTGAGTTTTGAGAAGGCCCCCCCAGCTGTGGCAGCCCCATCTATACAACATTTTTTCAGTCAAGCCACGAAGCGGCCGACGTCAGGCGTGGATGAATCTTCAGCCTGCGTCCACGTGGATCTACTGCTTTATACTAAATGTTTACTCATGCGCAACGCAAATATATTTCTGCTCTTTTTAGTCAAACTAAAACTATTTTGTCTGATGAAATGAGAGACTGAGGTCGACAGCAATATGGGATCAAAAAGTGAATTTATAATGGCTTTAAGCGGGTCGATTAAAAGAAGGGAAGACGTAAGAGCAGTAAAGTTACTGAGAGTTTATTGGAGCATTTACATTTTTAATCCTAATATGTTTTTAGGAATGGTTGTGTTTATTTACAAAATAATAAATAAATAAATGTTGTGTTGCTGATTTCCCCCACAAAAGAATCAGAGAAAAAAGAATGAGTAAGGTGTTTTGATGAGCATGAGGCAGAAGTAGTGTCAGCAAGTAGAGAAGCTCGGACAGAAGTCAGCCGGGACCGTTGTGCAGCGACGGGTTGTTGGCCCATCGCTGCGCAAACAAGCGTAAACAGTCTGAGTGTCCTGAGACGTCTGGCACACGCCGAGTTCATCACTCAGATTCCTGCAGTAAATATCTGCTCTGAGCTGCATCAATGGAACAATTCACGTCGTTCTGCTTCTGCCTCAATAAATCTGCAGCGTAGGAGGAGAAATATGACACAGGTTGTCACATCAGCATGTGACTGACTGTGTTGCTGTTTGATAAATAATGACACCGTGTCCTGATGCATGCTCAATAATCCAAGAAGAACAATCCAACAAAGTCAGGTCCTCTGGACAGTTGCAAAACGTACACATTTTTTTTTACATTGTTGAAACGTTTCGTCTTTTATCCAAAAGACCGCCTCAGTCTGAGGAGCTGTAATAAACTCAGTCTTATAAATAGCAACTTCTCTTGGTGAATCAACCATCAGTTTGTTGTTGACATTCAGAACTAGCTGTTCACATGTAAAAGGAGGACCATCAGCCCAACAATGGATTGTTAGTGCGCTGATGGCCACTTGCTATTCACAGGGGACTGAGTGATACTAGCAATAACAGGATTGTAAGAGAGGGACAGTTGAACATGGAGGCCTCCACCCTGTTTAATGATGGACGGTTTATCTTCACAAAGATGGCCTCCTTTTCTCCTCTCCTTGCAGCTGTGGCTGAGTGGTTAGAGCAGTCGTCCTCCAGTGCATGAGTTTGGGGTTCAAATCCACCAGCAGTCACATGCCGAAGAGTCCCTGGTCCAGACACTGAACCCCTCAATGCCTCCGATGTGTGTCCCATCGGTGTTTGAATGTGATCTAAAGCACTGATAAGTCTCTTTAGAATTTGTTCAGTTAGCTTAATAGAGCTCTAGTAGAGTGCTGTATGAATGGGTAAATGAGGCACAGATTGTGTTGTAAAGTGCTTTGAGTATCTCAATAAGATAAAAAGGCGCTAAAGAAGTACAGTCCATTTACCATTTACCATTCCTCTCTCAAACCATTGTTCCTCTCTATCCAGGATGTGAGCATCCTCATCCTTGAACGAGTGACCGCTGGCCTGGAGATGAGTGTAGACCGCAGAGTCCTGGCCTGATGGTGTTGATCTTCTGTGCTGGGCCATCTTTTAGAACCAGTGGCTGTTTAGTTTCCCCGATGTACAAAGTAAGACTGATCACAGCCCTCCTGACACTGAACAGCATACACAATATTACTCTGTTTGTGCCGGAGAACTGGATCTTTGGGATGAACCAGTCTTTGCCGTAATGTATTTTGGGGTTTAAAAGCCACTGGGACTTTGTGTTTAGAAAATAAACGTCTCAGTTTCTCTGTCACTCCCTCAACATACGGAATGACCACTGGTCTGGGTTCCTCCTTTTCACCTGATGGCTGACTGGAGTCCTGTTTGGGTTTCTTCTCTGCTTTCAGGAAGACCCAGTTAGGATATCCATATTCCTCTAGAGCCTGTCTTGTGTGGGATTTCTCCTTCTGCCGGGCTCCTGAGTTAGTGGGGACGCCGTCTGCTCTGTGGTACAGAGTCCTGATGACTCCTAACTTGTGCAAATGGCACTGTGGCATCTGTTGTGTTATTGTGCACTTGAAGTTCAGTTTGGATCATTTTGAAATAGACATTATTTTCTACCCTAATTCTGATAAAGTAGAAAATGTAAATAACAGAATGAAATGATTTTTAAATTTCAAAAACTTGCAGTAAACTCACAATGGAGCACACACAAAAAGACATTCAATGTTAAAAATAAGAAATTATATCATTTATAAGAAAAAAGGTCAATTTCATTTTTATGTCGGATCCAAAAGTTTTTTCCAGGTCCAGGTTTCCTCTGTGAAGCATCTTCACTTCTATTACCAGTAGTCTGCAAACGACCTGGACCTGAGAATACCAGATGTTGGCGGGTTTGGAGGACCTGAGGAAACCAGATGTTGGAGGGTTTTAGAGGGAATGTTGTCCCATTCTGGTCTGATAGAGGATTCGATCCATTTAATAGTCCTGGCTCTTTTTTTGCTGATTTTTCTTCTGCATCGTGACGCCTCAAATATTTTCAGTTAATGGGAGGTCTGGACCGTAGGCAGGTCAGTTCAGCACCTGGACTCTTCTACCATCAGACCATGCTGTTTTAATGAATGCAGTTTGTAGTTTAACATCCACTTTCTAAAATTCGCAAGAACTTCCCTGAAAAATATGTAATCTGGACGGAAGCATATATTGTTCTAAAACCTGTAGATACTTTTCTGCATTGATTCCAGATTTGTAAAAGGCTAATGCCAGAGGCATTAATGCACCCCAATACCATCAGAGAGGCAGGTTTTTGGACTGTGAGATGAAAACAGGTCAGACAGTCCTGCTCCTCTTTAGTACAGAGGATGTGGTGTCCATGGTTTCCAAACAGAACTTAAGAATCTGATCCATCTGACCACAGAACAGTTGTGGACTTCCCCTCAGTCCATTTGAAATGAGCTCTGGTCCAGAGAAGACGGCAGCGGCACTGGATGGTGTTCACATCTGGCTTCTTCTTTGTCTGATAGTTTAAGCAACATTTGTGGACGTCATGGTGAACTGTGAACAATGATCAGTGAAGTGTTCCTGAGTGGAAGAACTCAGAGATTTCTACAGATTGTTGTAACCTATGGATGAATTGGATTATGGATTATGAACTGGAGACGATGGAGATTAAACGTACTTCATTCAGAAACTTTATTCTGAAATTCATCCATCCATCCATTCTGAAATTATTCTACTATTTTTAGATCTGTCCATGTTTCCATCTGAGCAATGAAGCCTCTCTAAAATTCTCTTTTTATATCCAGTTCTCTTACAGACCTGTTGACAACATTTCTTAATTTATTTATTTTATGGCAGTTTTTTAGTCGTACACCTTATTTTTACAACCTTGGTTGCTCCTGTCCCAACGTTTTAAAGATGTGTTGCAGTCTTAAAAGTTAAAAACGTCATTTTTTATAATACAATTTGTCTCAACATTTCAGATATTTACTGGATTTCATTGTGAATAAAATATGAGTTTGTGCCATTTGCAAACCATTGTGTTCTGGTTTTATTTACATTTTACACAATGTCCCAACTTTGAGGGAATTGTGGTTGGTTTTGTTCTGAAAGGTAAAACCTTGGGATTGAAAGAAGGCGGACTTTCTTTTAAACCAAACTGAAGGCACCTCTGCATGAGAGACAAGTACTGAAGCCGTGTTTTGGTCTTGACAAAGGTCCCAGAGTAGAACCAGTCAGGACAGAAGCAAGGTTTCGTGTCTTCTTACCCATCTCGACCTTTGCTGACAATCTTCACCTCGAAGTAGTAGATCCCACAGGCGGCGGGGATTGGGTGTGTGGCTCGCACTGATGCTGCATCTTTGTGGTTCTTTCCATGGCCTGTAGAGAAAGATGTCAACACATCAACCTCTCCTCTTCATCAGTCATTTTTAAGGCTGTTTAATCAAAAATTCACATAACATCGCTCTCTGGTTTTATGTACTCTTAGGCTGTAGGTTAAGCTTTCCTCCCAGAGATCCACAATCTGTGATGGCGACTTTCCTACAGCAGGATTAAAAACCAACCTGCTCTACATACAGTCTGTGATAAAAGTGTAAACAACAGGCTCGTGTTTTATGTCTGGACCGTTCTGATTCAAACACAACATCCATTACTGTCTGTCTGTCACTCTATATTCAGATGGGTGGTTATGCAATCCCTGGGGTTATGAGCGAGCTGCTGTTTTGAGTATTGTATAACAGAAACCATGTCGCCACAGTCAGCATGTGTGCATCTCTTTCTGCTACATGCTATCCTGCTCACCTGTCATCAAACCTAACAAGTGGCAGTGAGCTCGTAGAAAATGCAGATAGGCAGTAACCTTAGGCGAAGCAGCTGGTTGTTCAGCCCGTCGACCCTGAACACAGCAGAGCCTCCGTGACAATCAGATCAGAAACTCGAATAAACTTTTGTTTTTGATCATCTGTGAATGCTGATTCAGCATGTGCAACGTTGTTTTTCTGTTTGTTTGCTATAGCCATTCATATATCTAAACCTTCAGCTCTTTTAGGAGATGGGGGCTACAATCTTTGGTTATTTTAACTTTAATCATTTTATTCATTAACTGTTATGTTCCCCATGAAATTAATCTTGGATTTATTCAGCTTCTTCTATTTAAAATCAGCTTCAGTGAACTGGCTCCTCTTGTTATTCTAGTCTGCTACTTTTAGCAGCTTTGCTACTATTAACATTTAGCTACCTTTCAACTTCTTTTATTGTTTTTATTATATTGTTGCTTTAAGCTACTGTTCAACTACTTTTAGCTAGCAGTTGATTACTTTAACTTTTAAACTAGTGTTTTGCTCCTTTTATTTAGCTAGTCTTTTTTTCCATTATTTGCTTCTTGTTTATTTTACCCTTTAGCTATCCTTTTGCCACTTTCTACTATAGATTTTAACTACTGTAGCTTTTCACTAATATCACATAATTTAATTACTGTTAGCTAGTCAATTGTTACTTTTAGAGTTTAGCTAACTTTTGCTGCTTTTAGCTACTTCTCTATTTTTCATTTCTAGTTTTTGCCACTTCATTACTTGTAACTACCATTTAGCTGTTTTTTTACTATAGGTTTTGGCTGGCCTGACAATAGTTTTAGATGGGCTTTTACTACTTTTGGCTACTGCTTTTCACTAGTGTTTGGTTACTTTTCACTTTCAGCAAGCTTTTGCTTCTTTAAATTCTATTTAGCTACTTTTAGCTTAGCTAGCCATATGCTACTTTTTGCTTCCATCTAGTTTTTGCTACTTTAGCGAGCCTATTAATACTTTAGCATTCAGCTATGATTTTGCTACTTTTAACTAGATTTTTGCTAGATTTAGCTTTTAACTAGCTTTTCACCGCTTTTAGCATTCAGTTAGTGTTTTACAACTTTTAGCCTTTACATAGTGTTAAGCTACTCTTACTTTTAGCTAACCATTTGCTACTTTGATTTTTAGTTAGCCATTTGCTACTTTTAATTAGCTTTTTGCTAGCTAGCCTTTCACTGTTTCATAGCAGTTAGAGATTTTTACGTTTAGCTTCTATCTAGCTAACAATATTTTTACTTTTAGCCTGTGTTTTGCTTCTTTTATCCTTTGGCTATTGTTCTGCTTCTTTTAGCTTTAAACAACTCATTTCACGTTCTTCAGCAAACCTCAGACGTCATTCGGCTCTCAGCCTTCACACCGTACTGTAGCAGAAAATACAAAGTCTTTAGTAAACCTAAATTACTGGTTGAAGAAAAAAATAAAATAAAAATTATTTGAGCATCTTTAACTGGCCTGGCAGTAATTTAGTTTCTGAACATGCAGTCAAGACTACAGAACTGATAAATCTGGATTAAAACCTGAACTCTAGCTGCATGTGAGCAGCATGCCTGGACATGTCCAAATCGTGTGTCGGCTTGTGACTCTTTGATCCCATATTTACAGCAAAACTGTCTATTTTTAGAAAGCATCACATCGGCTCATGACAGTTAAATGAAATGTCAAAGTTAGATTTAAATTCAGTAGAATATTTTAAGATGAAAACCTGTAAATGAGAGCTGCAGCTCAGAATCAGAATCAGCCTATATTGTCATTGCAGAGAAGCACAACAACATTTTATTTCAGTACAGCTCATCCAAAGAAACATCATGGGTAGACAGGTGCCTGAGGCTGCAGCCTCATGAGAGGCGCTGCTTTTTTGTTAGATAAGGAAAAGGGAACACAAGGAAAGGGGAGGTAAACAAAATTCATATCTCACACTGTGTCTCTAACAGGACAGTGTGAATGTTGCAAAAAAAAAAAAACCTCAGCACAAAAAAAGCAACATACAGATGACATCAGACATATGAATGTGGAGTGAGTGAAAGTGAAGTGTGTGTGTGTGTGTGGGGGGGGGGGGGGGTTGTCACCCAGCACAGGCCGCCCAAGAGCATCACAGCCACCTGGCACCTCACATCCAACCTAGGTTACAGTACAGCACTGGGGGGGGGGGGGGGGGGCAAAAAAGGCCCGGAGTTGGGGGGGGAGTGTGTTTATAGCTGTGCAAGTGAATGTATGCATGTGTGTGTTCATAAGTAAGTTTGTGAACACTGTTCCAGATAGCACCGCCCGTCATAGTACATGAAAGTGATGGTGCAATGTTTATCAGACGGCCTCGGTAGAGCTCTGACACAGGTCCACAGATGTCCTTGGGGAAGGGAACGGGTAGTGGGGGCAGAGCATTTTGTTCACATAACATCCGGTGCCAGATTCAGATAACAACAGTTGTTTTGGGTCAGGCCGAGTCCATTTAATTTCCATCTCCCTTTAGTCTCACTGGTACATCTCAATGGCAATTCCAAACAGCCAAATTTGTGGTCAGCTCTGCCTAGCCCAGCTTGTAACTTCTCCAAGGTCAATTCCTTCCAGCCAGCAAGATTCAGGAGCTACAAGTAGCCTGCGATTCTCAGCAAGAATTGCGTCCACCTTATGGCTCAGCTCACATAGCACTTGAGTCTGAGTGTTCACAGCACAGCACATTCCCTCACACAGGCTGGGCAGCTTCACAATGGCCAGAACAGCTGCCAACGTTTATCGAATATGTCGATATGCCAGGTAACCACCAACTCCAAAAAGCAGAAATTATGTTATCATAAATCCAATTATGAACACATCTTCAACATCCTGGACCGACAATATGGACAGACACACGATCTTCCACTGCCACCAGGAATCCATCGTATATCCAGCTGCGAGTGTCCTGTCGGGGCAGGAGGGCTCTCCTTCGCCCTGTCTTCTCATTGAGAAAATTTGATCAAGTGCGTTGAGAGACCAGATCCATAATTTATAATTTGGAAGATATGCAAAGAGAGGCTCAAAAAGGTTCACAGGACAAAGAGCAGAAGCAGGGGAAGAAACGGGAAGAAAATGAATCCGCCTTCCCTGAGAGCAAGAAGGAAAAAGCTTGTTTTAACCACTGATTTATCTTCTAGATCCACATGACATCACACTTGACAGGTTTAACTTCTCAACTTAGATCTCTGCACTAAACCCATCTCAGGTTCCATCTTTGGCCTCCAGCACAGTCAAAATGTAAAATTTATTGACTCAATATCAGAAAGTCCAACACAGCTCACAGTGGTCCTCTGCCTAGTCAACAACATACTATTAGATTCACATAACCCTGGTTCTTTGATAAAAGAGTGAGATGATTCACTATGGAAAATGCTCCAATGTGCCCAACTACGGAAGCTCCAATGACATCACGTCTGTCAAAGACAGACCGGTTGAGTTGTGCTCAGGGCTCTGCCCCATCATGATACCACAGTCAAACGAAAACCTCCTACTCATTCTAGGATGGTGTCTTTCTGTGTCCATGCAAGGAGGGAAGTGTTGGCGAAACACCTCACACTGTTATTAAAGAACCAGGGTTACGTTAAGTAACCTGACGTTATTTTTCTAACTTCATTCGGTGGCACAGGCGACCCCCGTGACCCAAAATGGAAGAAGCGGGTAAAAGATAATGGATGGATGGATGGAGATATAGCCCATTCCTGTATTGTAAGAAAGCCCCAAAGACATTCGCTATCCTGAACCCAGACAAGAAGGCTGCGAAGTTCCAGCGTCCAGTATCACATGAGATAGGGATGGCTGAGCCACATTCAGCCTGTAAAAATGCACAAACGTATGTGGTGTGACCCAGCTAGCTGCCACACAAATAACTTGGACAAATACTCCTCAAAACAGGGCCCATGATGTGGCCATGCTCCTGGTAGAATGGGCTTTCAGACCAGTTGGGGGCTCTGTACCCCTACATCTGTAACAGAGACTAATTGTCTCCACAATTCAGTGTGCTAGCCTCTGGCATGACACTAGTTTGCCTTTATGAGTCGAGGTCCAAAAAACTAACAGCTTGTCTGACTTCCTGAAGCCAGTTGTCCTGTAAACATATACTTTCAGCACTCGCATACGACACAACAAGTTGAGGCTTTGCTCCATTTCAGAGGAAAATGGAGTATGGAGAATCTCTGACTGTTGACGGATGACGCCACAAGAAATGAAAGCATTTACAGAGATATCAGAGATGATGCAGCATAGCTACACCCAGACTTATAAGCAGTGCGGAGATTTGCTAATGAAATTCAAGTCAGATTAAGGACCACAACGAGTGGAGTGGCTCGAACACAATGACCCGTTACAATATTGCCTACAGTGTTTCCCCTAGATAACTTGCCATAGCGGGGCGCTCATCTCGTCCGTGATTTTTGTCCGGGGGGGTGGGGGGTTGTGAACGGAGACTTGACCTAAGCTGCGCTGTTTAAACCAACAGTTTTAGAGGGGGGGTGGGGGACACAGAGGCAGCCACGCGCTGTTTGCACTGACAGTTTTACAGTTTTA